ACTAGCCTACAGCATTGTACTGAGGTTTTCAGAACAGTTCTAATAAGAAAATCTCATCTCTGAAGGTTTTTTGTACCTTCCTATGAAATATTTTATCAATGCATAATATCATTAGTCAACTCTCCATTTTTCTCTATTTTTCTGTCTGATTCCCTGAATGTGTCCAACTCACCTCACCGTCACACTGCCATGATTTTTGAACCGTGGAAATATCCCACAAGCGGCTGAACTGTGCTTATTCATCCTAAATGTAGCCCACTCTCCTGATCCCTTCGCCATAGCTGTGGGAAACACTGCATACTTTCCCCCTCTCTGCTCCCAATCCAGCAAGGACCCGGCCTGGGCCGTCCTGTCAAGTGCCTGATTGTAACTCACATAACAGCTCCTGTGATTGGTGGTGGATGTCCTTCCTTTGCCTCTCAGAAGGGCCGAAAATGTGTTTCCAGCTCTTCTCTTTATCGCACAGATCCCCATAAATTAAGTAAAAAAGTCCTTTATCCTCGACCTGAAACAATGCGCTTCCTCATTGAGTTGAGTTACAGTATGTCCATAGAACACCTCAAGGACAAGGGGCTGAGCTAGTGGCCTAATCTATCTTAGAGGATGGCATACCGATAATGCCTTGTGGTCTTGACATATGTTTCCATCAAACAACCCACTTAAGGGTTAGCGTCCGATTCCCAATTCAGTGACCTTCTTCTCAAGCACTACGACCACAGCTACTGTATAATTTTCTGTGCTGAATATAAGAGGCTGTGTGCCGACAGCCTGCTGCTAGCATCTGTACAGCTTTTTCCAAAAGGACGGAAAATCGACCTTGAGAATGACTATCTGAGCAAATCTGACTAATATCGTTCTTTAAAAGTAAACAAAACACTGACAAAGGAGATGTTAAGAGGTGTTATATTATAATTTTCCAGTAACCAGTTCCAGTGTTGCTGTGGGAAGGCTCTTACGAGGGCACACTTGGAAAAATAAAAGAGAAGGTTTGTGAGTGCGTGTGCGGACAGAATACAAACCAAAGGCCCTCGTCAAAAGCTTGAGTCAGAGTGTGTCTTTCTTTCAGATTGCAAGCCATGCTTTAAATATAACCACTTCGCTCAAGGCTCGAAGACACCAAGGGCACATCGCCCACTACTCAGATGTTTTCTTAAACACACTTATAAAAGGCTTATTTTGAATATGTCTCCCTGAAAAAAATCCACAATTTCTTTAAATTCTTCCATCTGCATCATCAGTGTCGTCACAATCAACAGCCTCAATCTTAGTCATCGGTGCCACTATTGTTGCTGTCATTCTGCTTACCATCATCGCTTTCATATCTTCCATAACTGCCCTCCTCTGCATCATTATCACCACAATCATTATCATCCTACTCTAACTCCTCATAGTGATTCTCCTCCCTCCGGCTGACCTGTTCCTCTCCCTGTCCCGGTTTCCTCCCTCCAGACAAGTGGCTTTGGCGGCCTACTTCTGACAGAAGGACAAATTGTTCGACTCACTAGTCAGGTCTGGCTGAGAGAAAACCACATCAGTGCACAGCAGAGCAGCCAGAAAGAGCCGTGAGCTGTTCTTCAGTGGGCAAACAGAAACTAAGGATAAGGAGATGGATACTAGCCAAGGCCTTCCTTATTCTGCAGGGTATTCAGGTGACTAGATATGTGTTGATATTTCAGGTATGAGGGTACATCTGATTTCATTTAGTTAATTTTGACTAAATATATTCAGAACCAACATTTACTTTCCATGACTAAGATAGGACCAATGTCATCAGGTTAAATACTTAAAATGGAGGGAAACATTTATTTACCAAAAACTCTATTATTTTTGCTGGCATCGAACATGTCTGTTTCCTCTGAATCAGGACTTCATTGGCAGAACACAATGAGCAGAGTCAGGAGTAACCTACTTACTTTAGTTAAAGCTGAAAACAACTTGGGTGAATGACCAAAAAGGATATTTTGGCTCAATTTGTTTAAAATATTCAATAAAATCTAGCGGCTAACACAGACTAAAATGTCAGCCATTTTCATTGAATAAAACTGTACTGAAATAGTTACAGTTTTACATTAAAGAAACAAGCATCTTTCTGTCTTGACTGACTTTTGTCTTCCCCTGAGTGCAATTGAGGTACAGGGATTGTTTTCCTTTGGTAATGAAAATAAAAATGAAACCTCTGTTCCAGCAGGGCAGCTTTAGCCAACCAAATGGGAGTATGGGAGAGAGAGAAATGGTAATTTCTCCTAAAAGGCATGGACAGTTTGTGAACCGAGCCACTCTTAACAGAATATCAGTGTACAAAACAGCTCCCAACAGCGCAGTTCTGGCTACATTTTGCATTAATATATTCAGGAGCTGTGAACCAATAATGTTACACTGAAAGAAACTAAATAGCGCAAAAAAGTATTTTAACCATTGCCTTCTGTCAACACCTACTGGAAACTAATTCATTTGGACGAAACCAGTCACATTCTCTACATTTCTTGTTTCAGGCACTTTAGAATGTGACTGGTTTCATCCAAATTAATTAGTTTCCAGTAGGTGTTGACAGAAGGCAAGCTTGCAAACCTTTTTCAAGGTGATAAAGACAGAAGCCTCTTGTACACATGCACTGCAACTCTGAAGTTATCTATTCACTACCCAGAGAAGCTGTATGTGAGAACGCACATCTCTAAATCATTTGGACTGGGCAACGAACATAACCCTGCCAGCTCCTTCCTACAAAGTCTGCGTCATCTCCAATTAAGGCCAATGTGTAAATAGATAACAATTGTCCAAGGGATTCACTGCAAGCAATGTACAGTAGATGACATACTTATCACGGCGGATGTGAAATGTGAGGAAATAAAACATCTGGTGGTAAAGAAGAAGGTCCATTTACAGGGATACAGCAACATCTTGTGTCTGTAAGGGCCGATGTCGAGATACTCAACTGACAAAATCGAGGAAAATCCATAGGATAGTTTGTAACCTAATAACAAAACAGCTACACTGCTAATCCACATTTGGTCCTGCCCACTCTTCCCTGTCATCATCCCTCGCTCATACTAAACTGGGTATAACAAGTAAGTTGGAATGCTGCTGACAAGGTGAAATGCCTTGTTGTCTGTTACATGAAAGAAGTGCGTCTAAACAGCAAGCTAATGTATTTTACACAGAACATTAAGAGTTATTTCTGGGGACAAAAGCTAAACAAAGTCAGTCAATGCAACATCTGTGGCCCTTTCATTTTTGACGCCAGCCCAGAACCAGCACCAATGTGTTTCCAGGAAGACAGCCTGTTCTGGTTATTACTAGGAAACAGTGTTGAAATCCGCAGCGATATTTGCCAAAGCTTTGGTTAAAAACGCTGTCCAACTATTTCAGGGCTGCCATCCATGTTTCTCTGCCTTAGGGTCTCTCTGCACCGGATACGTGTTTGGATAGGAGAGGCTCAAGGTTGCTGGGAAAACAATGGGATCAAACAGGACCATCAAAGGCATCGAGCAAGTTCAAAGGCTGGCGGTCAGACATTTATTTTTGGGCCCATATACCAACAGAGATGGAGAAACACTCAGCATTAGAAAGTTGGTCTGTCAGTTCTGCCACGGAAGTTGCAGAGTGTTGCAGTGCAAATGAAAACATCAAGGAACCAAGTACGATGTGAGCACTGCAGTGCTGGTGGGGATATAATGCGAGAGCCTTTGCTTAAAAGGGACATCTGGTAAAAGAACCAAACTCTGCCAAACCTTGGCCTTTTGAGAGCCGCTTTATTTGACAACTCTATAAAGACCAAGTTGGTTGACCTTTGACCGCACCATCTGACAAAGCTAACAAAATCAATCTTGCTAATGCTGACTGGGAGTCATTTTGTGCCAAGCCATCCATGAACCATTAAGGTTCATTAGTTTCTTCCCAGGCAATTTGAGAGGCTGAATATCAAGAGGAAGACATACTCTGCTCATATTTGTCTTTGACTTTTCCAGAATAGAGGAACATTGAGTGATACTTTGCTGGCTTTTTTGTGTTTTCTTATTCCCGAATCTGTCTTTTATTCCACATTGGGGGTAATCAGTTGCAGGGGGAGTCCGTTTTCTCCTCACACTGCCCCACTGGTTATCAATGGGACCTTTCAGAAAGGACCTTCCTCCACTGATTGAAACATCATTTCCTGCTGGACTAGCACACTAGGGCTATTGAGATGTGCCCCCTGTAACTCTCTCACTGCGGCCTCTTCATATTTACTAGTGACCTGGAGACCTCTGGTCCAATATACATATGGTACCAGCTTGCAGTGGGCCCGGGGTGCAATGGGCATAAACACAAGCAAACATTCGCTCAGTATGGAATACTCAATCTGAGAGATACAAGGCAGGGTTTTTACTGCACATTCTGCTCAGTTCCAAAATAAATAGAGACCTGGAGGGAGAAGCTAACACTTTAAATGTGAGAGTTAAGCATCATAGCAAAGTCAGGAAAACTGGGAAAAAAAAGACTATATTTAAAGAACCCAAAGATCAGAGCAGCCTTCAACCGAGAATGTAACAGCAACACACTTTAAAGCACGGAACATTACATTGACTTCCATGTGAATTACTTGCTTGTACTATAAAAAAGGCCTGTCAGCTCCCTGACGTTTTGAGGGTAAGGCAGAGATTAGAGGAGAGTAAGAAGAGGGTCAAAAGAAGGAGGGGTAGTGGTGTAGAGAAAGCATAGAGAAGGATGCTGCGCATTGCTGCATCTCTACGAGGCTGAGGGATACAAACCATGTCTCCCCTGCTCCCCGACCAATTACTAACACACACATTGATTCATTGAGGCGACGAGGCGACGAGGTGTAGAGAACACGGGCACGGACACGGCGGCAGTGAACAGTCGAGAGGCTTACACATTAATCTATACAAAACATTGCTGCAGGTTCACCGGGTTGACATGTTCAAAATACATCAGCGTCAATAGAATGTGGTAATGTTCTACAAACACGCGTAGAACGAAGGAATACATGAGGGATGGAAGATTACCTGTAGGTCAAAGAATTTGCTGTATCTTCTGTACACGATGTGGGAGGTGTTGTCAGAATAGGTGACATTGATGAGATATACCTGCCAAGAGAAGAAACACAGAAGAAGGTTACAAATGTGGCTACAACTCAATTATTTTCCTTTTTCCTGTCTAGTTTTGTCCAGCCATCAGTGCCCAAATATATTTGAGTTGATTTGCAACAGTTTTCGGACTTTTACTTAATCTTTTCAATACATTCCAATGGACTGATTGTAGCGGCATACGTGTGCTTGTAGCATCAACAAACTCACAAGCATCATGCACACACAGCCCAATACAAATTTCCCCAACATGAGCGTTCAATGACACACTCGTAAATATGTCACCGGTTGTTTCTTCAGGATAGATGGTGACATCATCCCTCCTTTGTCTGCACACTGACCTGTTGGCCTTTAGCCTTCGCTGCAGCACACTGTAGCCCTGAGAGGCCTGATAAGATTGAGACAGAGTCCATGTATCTGTCAAGAGGAGGTAAGTGATGCCGCCATCATTTCTAATCTAATGAAACATAGATAACCAAGGTAACAGATGCATCTGCCTCACATCTGTTGATATACAATTGTATATTGTTCAGAAAAGGGCTCTGGGTTTCAAATGATTCAAGTAGTTAAAGAGGCCATATTGTGCTTTTTGGGGCTGTGTTATAGGTTTGTGTGCATGTAAATGGTCCTCAAAGGCTAAACGCCTTGGTTAGACTCCTAACCTTTTTCTGCTGTAACAAAGTGACATCGATATGTAACACATGCACTTCTATTCCAATGTATTATGAGCAAAATATAGCACGGTTTAAAGCATGTACACATGTCACATAGATGCACATAATACAAATATGAACCTCAAATGAGAAACACATGTACTCTTTAAATTGTAACTAACTACGATCTTATGGTATGAGTGTATACAAATACTATCCATTGATATCCATGTTTGCATTCAGTTCTATCAAATACCCAATCACCATAATGTTGACTCTGTTTGTATTGGGAATGTATTCATGACTTTTGTTTAGAATAAAACATTAATACTGACTTAGTTTGACCTTTTTGTTCAAATTGTGTTGCCAGATTATCCTGTACAAAATGCATTTGTGGTGTTTCCATAAATGTACTTTTTTTTTTATATATACATTTAGCATGAACGTACAGTTAAAACATTGAGAAGTGATTTGCAATAAAACAAGATGTTGTCAACCAGCCCAAACACTGCAGCTACAGTAAGTGGCTCAAACACAGTGCGAATAGAAATCCACTTAGCATCAAGCTGCCGTGAACACAGAAACGATTGACTTTGCCTCTTGTATAGCATTCAGATTATATAAAGTGAATGTGTTTCTACTGATCAGGCATTCCTGCGGATTATTTCAGCAGGCTTCATCTTTCTGACACTCCCAACCTCTGTACCTGCCAAGAGCCTCAAGAGCAGAGCCGAGATGAATGAGGCCGAGAGAAAGAGCCTGACGTTGACGAACGAAGGGCAGCAGCTTGAAACAAAAGAGGTTTCACAACAAAGCCGGGGGTTAAAAGGCCTTGTTGCTGCTGGAAGGGGCTCAGCTGTTGCTGGCAAGGAGCCATCCCAGTATGTCCACTGCCATGCAAACACTGGCATCCAGAAGCTGTGACTGTCACGTTACACTGACAAACTTGTTCTTAGCACGGTAGTGTGTCACTACAGCGATTAGCTTTGGCATTTATTACAATGAAAATGAGGTCCCTGGGGTACTGCCAGGTTACAAAAATCACAACAGTCAAGGCTTACTGCCACAATCAGTGAGGCTTTCAAGTGTCTTTGGGACTGTTGTTGTAGAACAAAGACTTGTTTTTAGTGCTCATTAACAAAGCATTTCAAAGATAATGGGAGAACCTTTCAGAAAAAACTGAAAAGGTAGAACAGTGAAGTAGCTGATGGCTGAGGTGTCCTCAGGTAATCCTAGCTTTTAAAATGTTATGTAAAGACCTAACTTCACTGGCAGAGAAACCAAAAATACCTTTATGCTGTTATGCATACTATTCCAACACTTATCTAAATGATTCAGAGATACGCCTCAGAGGGAATGGGCCAAGCACTTGTCAGAACTTGTTTGTGTGTGTGCAAGTGTATAAGTGTGTAATATATGTGAAACTGAGCATGTAATAAAGACCTTCCGTTATAACATTTAGTAAATAGCAACATTTATTTTTGAGAGCTTTACAGTCTAAGAACGATATATTAGTTAACGTCCGTTTTTTCAAAGTGGTGGTGTAGCTCTAGAAATGGCAATAATGATTGTAGGTGCCATAATGCTACATAGCCCAAGTTCATTATTAGTATTATTATTATTTGTTTACGTCACTTTTATTTGTTTGTTGAATACTTCCGGTAATTGTCACATGGGTGTGGTTTGTGTATATAAGTCACCTGTTTCATGCCGGGTGCGGATGACAGAGGGTGAGCATTTCTTCTGTTGACCGTTTTGTCCCTAGTTACTGTGTTTTGATTTTGTTTATTAAATATCGTAAAACTATCTTGCTTCAGTATGGCCTTTCTCTTCGAAAACGCGTCACAGTTTATAGCCAAGCTTAGCCTCTCAGAGACTCAAACGGAACTGGAAATTGAGCCGCCACAATGATTATTCATGGTCCCCAGAGGAGGATCCAAATTACTTTGGTGCTCCCCTGGTGCCCCTAGGAGGTTTGTTTTTTTATGTAAAGTGTCATAACAATTATTGCCATCAAATTTGGTACATATACCTGTAGAGGAGTGATTCTAATTGCTTTGGTTATTCTGTGAATAATCTTAAAGCACCAACATAAGGGATGTAAATCTAACATTTCATCACACAAAAATACTATCTATAGTGTTTCAACTTCAATACATTATTTGCTGACATCCTGAAGACTGCCCTGAAAGGTGTTATGTTCCCAAAATAAAGATGTATCTTAAAGCTTATTATACATATTGATGTTGTCATTTTGTATCGATGATATTCGATTTAGATTGTTGCACCCTTTCATCAAAATATCTCTACATCGATAGATTGGCCATACATATTGTACATTAATGATTTAAAAGCGTTGGTACAACTTTTCAGAGCCACTGGCATGGTAGTTAACTCTACTTAAAATATATCTTTGGCAATGTCTTGTCCCTTATTAGCCTAGAGATACCCTTACAGAACAATCTCTAATAACCAAACACTAGCTTTAATAAGGTATGGAAAGGCAATTCCACTATATCTTACTATTATGCTTTTTGGGGTTTTCCCTTTCCTGTAGTGTGTTATATAGGTTTTTGTACATGTAAATGGCCTCAAAAGGCTAACATTCCAAAGTTCCCTCTGTTTCTCTCCCACTCACTCCCCCCTGCCTGAAACGCCTCCATTGGACTCTTTTGTTAACTTCTGCAACATAGTGACAGCACTATGTAACACTCATACTTCTATTGGTTAGCACTTCAACATATCTTACGTAGTATGCTAAGGGGGAGGACATTTCCAAAACATCTCTTAGTGGTCAAAACAGAGCCAGCCAGCTAACCAATCAGAGCAGACTGGGCTCTGGTTTCAGACAGAGGGTGAAAAGAGGTGCTGCAGCACAGGCAGGATGAGAAAAATAAAAGAGTCCCAGAAGAGGAACACAATACAAATATGAACCTTAACATTAGCATAATATGTCCTCATTAAACAAAAAAGCAATTAACATTTTAGAAATAGTGCACACAACAATATAATGTACTTGTCCACCACTTAAAGTTATGTTAAGTGTTATAAACAGTATTTGTAAAAACATAGCTTCTCATGAAAGCACATTTTGTATCACTATAACAGTGTTTCTCTATATTGTTATCTATTAGCTCTTTAAATATCATCATTTTCTTATGTTTGCCCACAGGATGAATTATTGTTGTTGACTGTACAGTGTTAAACATGTATCTTATAGTGTTGTAAACCATTTATTAGATATCTTAAAAAAGCTGAATAAGGTGAACTGGAAGATGAGAGACGTTCAAGCATGAGATCAACAATAACTACAGGTCTCAAATGCATCTTCCTTTCTTTTGTAGGTTGAAATGAAATATTTAAACCAGATAATATCTAGATAAAAAAGTCCTGCATAATATTGTGATTGCTGCAAGACATTCTTGCACAGCAGGCATGTCTAGACCAATGAGGCATTGCTGCAATTCCAAAATGAAGGCTGGCATTTGGGGCGCGGAGGCACCACGCAAGCTCACATGGAGAAGCATGATCTTCATGAGCGCTTGATTTTTAACACTCGGCTGTTAATAACCACACCTCAATTTAGAAACAGGAAGGGGTTCGACACAGGGATTAGGAAACAATGAGGAGGCAGGACAGTAACTCCCTGTAGATGACTGTTTACGGCATGAGTATGTTCGACCACATGTACTGCTTTCATTCTACTGAAAAAGCTCCTGTCATCAAGAGATATTTGACAACTTGCTAAAAACCAGTCTTTCTGATAATAGATTAGTCAAGTTATCCTAACACAGCATGTCAATACTCCATTTCTGACTTGTCAACTTCTTTTCAAAGGAGTCTAAAAATCGCTTCATAAGCAGGGAAAACACAAACGTGGGGGAAAAAAAATAAACAACTCAAAGAAAGCTTTGGGGGCTTGAATGTGCCAGATAGCAAGAAAGATACCTTGTTCATCTGATAATCCCACGGAGGGAGCGAGACTTGAAAACAAAAGTTTTATTTCAGCTCAGAAGCAGCGACAAAAACATGAATTCTTACGACAGAACAAATTGGACCTCTGATTATTTCATCAGAGGTGGCTATGAATATTCATGTTGAGCTTACTGTTTTCCCCTTCTGCTGATGAATAATTTATCTAATAATATGATGTTCAACAGCCGTAAGAGGTAGTGTAGAAAGTATAATGAAGAAAATTACTTACAGTTTCGGAGGAAAGCCAGGAACTAGTCCAACAATTCTCAAGAGCAGAAGGCAAAGAGTGAGTGCTTGGTGGGCAGAGAATGTGGGCCTCACCACTAAATGCACTGAACCCCGCCTAAACTACTATATTTAAAGTATAAAACA